ACCAATAGCAGAACCTGGATGCTCATATTGGTTCCTACATATTCTACGAAGATCTTTATCGGTCAAACCGCATAACAACATACGTTGTTCCCTTTGTCATCGGTATGTTACTTGCCCGAGATTCGATCGTCGGTACCATCATACCTAGTTCAATCCCACCACCGGCAAGTCTCTTTACTCGTTCCGTGATGCATTATCCCATAACTAACTCATTAATCATATTGCTTGCAAGGCTCATAGTGATGTGCATTACCGAGAGGGCCCAGAGATACCTCTCCGACAATCGGAGTGACAAATCCTAATCTCGATCTATGCCAACTCAACAAACACCATCGAAGACACCTGTAGAGCATCTTTATAATCACTCAGTTACGTTGTGACGTTTGATAGCACACTAGGTGTTCCTCCGGTATTCGGGAGTTGCATAATCTCATAGTCATAGGAACATGTATAAGTTATGGAGAAAGCAATAGCAATAAACTAAATGGTCATAGTGCTAAGCTAATGGATGGGTCTAGTCCATCACATCATTCTCTAATGATGTGATCTCGTTCATCAAACGACAACACATGTCTATGGCTAGGAAACTTAACCATCTTTGATTAACGAGCTAGTATAGTAGAGGCATACTAGGGACACTCTGTTTGTCTATGTATTTACACATGTACTAAGTTTCCGGTTAATACAATTCTAGCATGAATAATAAACATTTATCATGATATAAGAAAATATAAATAACAATTTTATTATTGCCTCTAGGGCATATTTCCTTCACCTTCATCCAATACTTCAAGTCTTCGCGGATGAGGTCCACCATTTTTGACACCAACAACTAGTGACAAACATTACCAAAAACATGGGTGTTTCTTTGTTTTCAAAGATGCCAGGCGGTAAGGTAACAAATGAATCGAAACCATGCCTATCGTGCTTTTGAAATACTCCCTTCGTCCGAAAAAGTTTGTCCCTCAAATGGATGTATCTAGCACTAATTTTTGAGGGACAAGTTTTTGAAATATTCTCGCTGTGCTAGATACATTCATTTAAAAGACAAGCTTTTCAGACGAGGGGACTAGCATTTTGGCCTTATTCCACCGGTCCTCCAGTGCAGCACAGCGAAGTATCGCTACCAAGTTTCTCTAGCCACCATGCATTGCATCAGGATATGCTCGATCTTGTCTTCATCTTGAAGACAAACGTTGCCTCAGTTCAAAACAACAGTTTTCCTTTTGACAACACAAGAGGATACAGAAAGATAACCAACGCGACATGGGAGGCGATTTACTGCACAGAGCGGCTTGGGTACTCATGCATGCACCCACATGATTGAGCAAGACTAGCAAAAGAACCCGTGCGTTGCAACGGGAAAAGAAAATAACGCACGGCCCTAACCCAATAATCATGACTAAGACCCCAATAGATATTGCCGAGGCATCTCTCTCGGCATTAGATGAGAATCTGCTTTATTTTCATGCAATATTTTGCCGAGGCGTACATGCAAGGTTATCGACGGTTTTTTCTGTCTCCAATTTGGGTTTGATGGGGTGTTCATTGTAATCCGGGTCGGTGTCGATACCAAAGAAAGATGGATCGTGCGCTATTCATTAAGGTTGCACCCTAAATAGCATTTTAAAAATGTTTAACAGGTAAAATAACATCAGATTCATATTCTACATATTTTTTTAATCAAATTTAATATATAACATGTTAAAATTGGAGTTAGGGTTTAAAAGATGTATTTTGATAAAGTATTATTTGTTCTAGATGGAATGCGGGTTAATTATAGAAAAAAGGCAAAAACGATACGTTTTCTGGGAGTGTGGGTTATTTATCAGAAAAAGAAGGGGGTTTTCTATAAAACAGTAAAAAAGGGTTCGTTTTCTCACTTAACTGATATAGCGAGTTAATTACCTGAAAACAAAGGGGGTCTTCTGTAAAAAAATGTTGCTGGTGAACAGGCAGAAGCAATGCATATTTTATTAATATAGTAAACATGCCCGTGCGTTCCAACGAGAGAAAAAATCATAATTTCGAATGGCAATGATCACATCTTACTACATCATCGATATACACTATCACTCTCATTTTTGTGAAAACATGAACAATTTTTAAAAATCATGAACATTTTCTTAAACTCATGAGCATATTTGAAATTGTGAACTTTTTAAAATTCACAAACATTTTGTAAAATCAAGAACGTTTTCTGAATTCATGAACATATTATATGCAAACCTTTTGTTTAATCTGCGAACATTTCTAGAATCGGCTAACATTTTTTGGGATTTGACAAAATAATTTTCTAAATTAGTGAACACTTTTGAATCCGTGTATATTTTGTGAATCAAAAACCATATATTTGAATTTAAGAACAGTTTTATTTTATGCTATTTTCTAATACATGAATATTTTTTGAATTGACGAAATTTTGTGAAATTTTAAAACATTTCTAAATACATGAACTTTTTTAGAAAAACTCATTAATGTATGTTTATTTTCCGGACATTTATTAGAAAATTTGCTAATATTTTGAAAAATCAGAAACAATTTCTAAAGCCGCAAACATTTATGATTTATTAAATATTATTTTAAAATTCACGGTTTCAAATTTTGGAAACCTTTTTAAATTCATAAATTATTTCAAGTAGACAAAAAGCAATGACGGAAAATAAAAATAAAAAATAAAAAATTAATCACCCATATATAGGTCGGCCCAGGCAAGGTGTGTCTTTTTCTCTGCGCCGGGCGTAGTATTAGATATTCTGAAATGGGCCGGCCCAGTCCGAATTTTTCTGTGTGCAACGTTTTTTTTATAACTTATAGGTGACATTGGTGGGTAATTTTTTCCAACTTCGGGAGCAATTTTAATGACGTACGGGCAGATGCACTCCGTACTTTATTATATATATATATATATATAAGGGAAGATTAACAGTTTTATTTTATGCTATTTTCTAATACATGAATATTTTTTGAATTGACGAAATTTTGTGAAATTTTAAAACATTTTTAAATACATGAATTTTTTTAGAAAAACTCATTAATGTATGTTTGTTTTCCGGACATTTATTAGAAAATTTGCTAATATTTTGAAAAATCACAAACAATCTCTAAAGCCGCAAACATTTATGATTTATTAAATATTATTTTAAAATTCACAGTTTCAAATTTTGGAAACCTTTTCAAATTCACAAATTATTTCAAGTAGACAAAAAGCAATGACGGAAAATAAAAATAAAAAATAAAAAATTGATCACCCATATATAGGTCGGCCCAGGCAAGGTGTGTCTTTTTCTGTGCGCTGGGCGTAGTATTAGGTATTCTGAAATGGGCCGGCCCAGTCCGAATTTTTCTGTGTGCAACGTTTTTTATAACTTATAGGTGGCATTGGTGGGTAATTTTTTCCAACTTCGGGGGCAATTTTAATGACGTACGGGCAGAAGCACTCCGTGCTTTATTATATTATATATATATATATATATATATATGTATATAATATAATATAATATATATATATTATATAATAATATAAATATAAATATATATATATAATATAAATATAAATATATATATATATTTATATTTATATAAATATAATATATAATATATATATATATATATATATTTATATATATATTTATATATATATATTTATATTTATATTTATATATTTATATTTATAATTATTTATATTTATATATATATATTTATATTTATATAAATATAATATATAATATAATATATATATATATATATATATATATTAGGGGAGATTGGAAAATTGATTTTGTGATTAGAGCTTAATTACTTTATGCATACAGCTTTTAGTACATCTGTTGGCAGGGAGTGAGAGTGCATGCCTCACCCGCCCCACCTAAAAATGATTTTTCTTTTGATTTGTAAATTTGAATCTATTTGTTTTAACCAAAAATCTAACTTACATTGCGTTCGCATATTCGTATTCTATATGACGAGGGCTTTGAAACAAGACCACTTCTGAATATGTTTTGACAAGTTTTAAAAACTTCACCAGGTTTCAATTGCTGAAATTTGTTAGAATGAATGATAAATTCATCAAATTTAAAAAAAAACTAAAAGTTAAACCCTCAACCCTAAGCCCTAACCCCCAAGCCCTAAACCCTAAAAGCAAATGGAACTTGGTAAAACTTAGTAAAAACTTAATATTGCGGCTATCAAGTTATAATGTTTCAAACTTGGTAAAATTTTATAAATTGTCAAAATGTATCCAAAATTGGTCTTGTTCAAAGGTACTTGTTGCATCGAACACAAATATGCAAACGAAACTTAATTTGAATTTTCGGTTCAGAAGATATAGTACTCCCTCTGTAAACTAATATAAGAGTGTTTAGATCACTATTTTAATATGCTAAACGCTCTTATATTAGTTTACGGAGGGAGTACTAGATTCAAGTTTGAAGATGAAGGAAAAGCATTGAAGGCGAGGTGGGTGAAGCATGCAACTCTTGACGAGTATCTTCCATCACGATACCACATATTGGCCAGCAGAGAGAGAAAAAATTGACAAGTTTTTTTTAACACATCTTGACGAGTTGAGAGCCAGCTCAATTACAAGATTGAAAAATCTCCTCCTGTTTATTTTGTTAAAAAAAAGAGCTAAATGGGGTGTTTTACTGGAATGTTGATCTTGTCCGACCGAAAAGCACAAATCCACCATCACCTTCAGGCCTTCATCTCATGGTCCAAAACCCCAAATCCAGCATCACCAATCAGCAACAAGACAGGCCGCTGGTGATAACACTTGACAGTTCATCGAACTCAACAAGAACACCATTACTGTAACTGGACAGGACACAAACTTAACCGAGATACAGCATTCACCTTATATCCCGCATTGTCACGGCCAAAAGAACATTAAGCATTCGACTCGTCAGGAACAGACTAACAATTGACGAGCAAAGTTGAACAGATGAGGACTAATAGGTTAACAATCGTTCTCTTCTTCATCTTTTTGGACAACGATCAGGTCAATGATCTTTGGTGAACATCCCCTCCAATGTTTTCAGCCAGCTCACGTACTGGGCCTGCTCCTTCTGAAGCAAGTGTTCACGAAGTGAGGTCGCCAGTTCGGGGGTAACGCCTCTTGCCAGGAGATATTCTTTCAGTGCAGCCTGTAGCTTAGGATCCAAATCCCTGCACATCAGAATGAAAAACACACACACTCAGTGAAATTAGAGAGGAACAGCACATGCTTCTTGAGCTTGCTGCTTTTTAAAGGAATCAATTGTCTTTTTGGTGTCTTTGTAAATTATAAATGTGATCCTTTTGTCTATGGTGGGACAACATGATCATTATACATTGAAACAACTGATATAGTTAACATCGACAAGAAGAATTTCATGGATGAGAAACACATCCAGTTGTTGTTGTTGTTGTTATTGTTGTTGTCCCAGTCTAGCCCCAGCTTAACATGCATCAGGTATGGAGTTTTGGCAGAAGATGCACTGTATGCCTTATCCGGTCAAAAACGGTTTAAGCCTAAATGACCAATCTGAGACAAGTCATCAAGCAAATGGTACAAGTTTACAAATTATCATATTACATATCATGAATTAGCTCCTCCTAATTTATAGAACAAACTCTCTCTATACCATTTGGTTTAGCCTAATTATTCATTACAGTAAAACAGCACAGCTATTTCGAGTAATTCTACATCTATGCCGATCCCGAAAAAGTGATGTTTAATTGTTCCTACTATCAAAACCATTACCCTTTGTCCCTTCCCTTACAATAATAATCGACAAAACCTCTTACTGTATCTCATGCCCAACTTCACAATGGAGAAAGGTACCGGTTCCAATTGCTACCATAAGTCGCATGCCAAGTAGTAGACATGACTTGGGGCAAGTCAGGTGCTACACTACATTCACGCAAACTTCTCTATCAACTAAAGGCGACATATGATGCTTTAATTCGGTATTACACCCGCGAGCAGCAATTTTGAGAAATTAGGGAATGAAATAAAGCAGAACCTAGAATTTTAATATTCAACACCTTTCAGATAGATCAACTCTGAGGGAGTATATCATTTAACTAATTTAGTGCCCAAATCAAAAGCAATTGCACAAATGTGCCACAAAGGGATGATCTCATAAAGTATACTGCCGCAATATTTATTGGCAAAGAAGGATCTCAGGTCTCTCAGTGTAATATCCAAAATTCCAAAAATTTGAACCACTATCAAATATATTATATAGGAAAATAACTATTCAAACTAAAATAATGGCAGTCATCCAAAGAGTTAGGGCAACAACTGATAAGTCCCCTTTGTACAAAAGGAATCTAAACAACTGGAAGTGGTACTGGCATTTCCTCTTAAATAATTTTAGGTTTAAAAGTAAGACCACCAGCAGTTAGTGGTCTCCACAAACTGCAACAGGAGTTTCAGACTTACAGTTATCAATGGCAGAGGTGTTGTGACAAGAAAATCCTATGCTCTTTAGAGCAACTTCAATGGGGCGACCCACTTCATCCGCCTGCGTCCGTTTGAGTCGGCACGGACAAAAGTGGCGGCCCAACCAAGGATTACGAGTCGACGAGTCGTTCCGAGGTTGAGACTCATAGACTAATCGGACTAGTCTTAGACTAGTGCTAGACTAGTCGACATAGTACTGTAGTACTCAACTACTAATACCTAGTAGCAGTATGTAGTAGTATGTAGTAAACTGTACAGCACATTACAGTATATACAATAAAACCAGCAGTGCTAGCCAACACTTGTCAGGCCCAGCCCAGCGCTGCGCAGCACGCCCCCCACCAGCTGGCCCATTTGGGCCCAAGTGGCTAGCCTACTTAGCTCACGTCCCAGTCACTGGAACCCAAGCTCCCAATCGATCCCATCACCGCCGCCAGCGCCATCACGCACGGGAGCATGTGCGCGTGACCCGCGCCTCCCGCCCCTTCCGCCGGCGAGCTCGCCGACCACCGCCGTGCCTCCTCCCTTCCTCTCCTCTCTCTGGCCTCAGGGCCGCGCTCGCCTACGGGTCATGGCCATGGCGGCGCGAGGAGGGCTCGACGGGCGCGTCCAGCAGCCGGTGGCGCATCTAGGTGAGGAGCAAGCCTGGAAAGAACTAGGGTTGCCCTCCCGCGGGATGAGCAAGCTCATTTATACCATCAAATTTTTGAGTCACTCGACTAGAACATGTCGACTAGCCCAGACTAGTCGTCGACTAATCCATCCACATCTCGACTCGGTAAACTAGTCTACACGAGAATCGCAGTCGACCTCCACTTTGCGACTCATAGACTAGTCTCGACTAGTCGTTCGACTCGTAATCAGTGGGCCCAACGCGCCGACCCAAACCCAAATCACGTCCGCTTCGCGTCCGCGCCAACGCATTTGCAGCCCAAATTTGCGCCCCAAATGTGTCGGCGCGGACGCGGAACGGACGCCACGCGCGCCTTCTCGGCGTTCGCCGCGTCCCCACCTGGCGGCCGTCCAACTACCCGCTGCCCACGCGGTCGGCTTAGGCCCGCGCGTCAACGACGGCGGCCATCCTTTTTTAAGCCGACCGTGCGGCAGGGCCGTCCTCATCCAAACTCGCCGTCCACATCTAGCAAGCTCTGCTCCCCCGTCGCCGGCAAACCCTAGCCACCACCACCACCACCACAGTAAGATGGGGCTCTTCTCCGACACCAGCAGCAGCAAGACCAAGGGCAAGGCCCCCGCCATCCCTTTCCCCTCGGAGTTCCTCCCACCTCTGCCGCCGCCGGCTCGCCAGCAGAGGCAGCACGTGAACGTGCCAGTGCACCAGGCGGAGTGGCACTGGCAGCACCGCATGCCTCTGCCGTACCCCGACGTCACCCTGCTGCACGACTGGCATCTGGATCCAGAGAGGATCCCAGTGCCGGCGGCGCCGCGGTCGGCTAGGGCGCACGCGGAGGAGGTGCAGTGCCGGCTGGTGCTGCTGACGCCGGAGTAGCGCCGCGATGCCACCTACGCATCCGACTCGCAGAACTGGAAGAGGTGGTTCGCCTTCGAGCACGAGGAGGCGAGGCGCTGCGGCGTGCGCGAGGTCGACCGCAGCCTGTCACCGCCCCCGCTCGTCGTCCGTGAGGAGGACCAGGCGGCGGAGGACGCCTACCGGGCGGCCCTTGCGGCGGTCTACCGCGAGAGCAAGGAGGATGAGCGGCGCAGGGTGGAGGCGGTGGAGGAAGAGGAAGCTCGTTACGAGGCGGCCATGGCGCAGGCCATTGCCCTCTCCGCGACCGGCGACTGCGTGCTGCCGCCGGTGGCCACGTCGTCCCCTCCCCGACGCCGCGTCAAGGCCTACCCGGAGCCGCAGCCGGAGCCCGACCCAGAGTCGTCCCCCATCGAGCGCTACTCCTGGACGGGAGTACTGCGCGAGTGGGTGTCCGCGCCACCAGTTTGGATGGGGGCGACGCTGGCGCAGGAGGCGGCGTACCTCGAGATGTGGCGCCAGCAACGGCTGGCCGAGGAGCGTCGTCGTGGCGAGTACGAGGAGATGCCCGAGCGCGACCTCGAGGAGGAGCAGCCCGAGGCTGAGGAGGAGGCGCGCCAGGCTGCGGCTACACAGGCGGCCGCCCAGCCCCCCGCGCCGGAACAGCTACCCGCGGCCTACATCGCTGCCGCCTGGAACACGGCGTTCCCCTGGGCCGGCCCTGCGCCGACGCTCATCGACCTCACCGACCCCGAGGAGGAGGACGACGCTGCCGCCTAGGGCAGCACGCCGCCTCGTAGTTTAGGTTGTTTTTATTTTTCTTAAATGCTAATGTGGACGCGTGGACTCTCACCGGCCTGGCCGGCTGTAATGTTTAATTAATGTTGCTTTTTTTAAATATGCATGTGTTCTTTTTTTTCTAGCGCCGTCAAAATGGGTCGGGCCAGCGTTGGGCGCACACGCCGACCCAAACGCGGAAGCAGACATCCGTGTCCGCCTGGCCGACCCAAACGGACAAAAAGCGGACAAAATCACTGTCCGTTTGGGTCGGCCCGTTGGAGTTGCTCTTACATCCTGCATCCAGCTATTGGGAAATTCCACTGAACGTAAAAACAGACTCTCCCCAGATAATCCATGAGAAATTCTGCGGTCAGTCACCCTTTGTATTGTAAGATTTTTTTTTTTGGAGGATTCCGATCCTTAAGAATTTTTCTGTATAAATGCCCTTTGGTTCACAGAAACGGTGCTGCCGAATTCCTACGGATAGATTTCCTATGCTCCAGTACCACCGGAATTTCAAAATTCACCAAAATCATTTTTCTAAACACATTCGCTTATGATTGAGGCGATTTTTCTATGTTCAAACGAAATGATAATTCATTCACCCTTCTTGGGGCTTTGTAAAGAAGTCCTGTGATTTGCACTTCATTCCTATCGGATTCATGTTTTTAGGGCTTCTTTGATTCAAAGGAATTTTATAGGATTTCTGGAGGATTGAAATTCTTAGGATTTTTTCCTATGTTGGTCCTTTGATTCATATGATTGGATCCCATAGGAATTTTTCCTATGGAATCTTTTGTACTACATTTCATAGGAAATTTAACATCCACTCCAACCTCTTTTTACAATTCCTTTGTTTTTCCCGTGACATCAAACAATCATTGCTAATTCTATAGGATTCAAATGGGCATTGCCACTCCAACCCTACACTTTTCCTATTCCTACGTTTTCAAAATCTGCTAATTCTATAGGATTCAAATGGGCATTGCCACTCCAACCCTACACTTTTCCTATTCCTACGTTTTCAAAATCCTATGAATCAAAGAGGCCCTTATTTTCCAACTGACCACACCAGCCAGGTTTCACTATCACTCTATCAGAGATAACGGAATAACAAAGTACCAACATCCTTGTGCAACAGAAAGTAAAGACTAAGCTAGGATTTCAGGCTGCGCAATGCTAGCCATAGTGGTGTTTTTTCATGTTCCTGCTTTTAATTCAGAATGCTCCCTCCCTAATATACATAACATCATTATAGCAGAATAAAAAATCAAGCAACGCAAGGAACATTACCCGAAGTCTGGCCCTTCATACTTGCTGTCTCCACCATCGCCAGGGAACGCGTGATACGAGAGGGCAGTTATATCATAGCCAGCAGCAGCGCCGCGGCCGGCGGCAACCGCGCGGCAGTCGAAGCGCAGCAGCGGTTCCACTCCTGGCTTGCTGATGAACACCTTCATGAGCGCGTCCCTGGGCAGCGGCTCCTCGCCTTCGAACCGCAGCGGGGCGAGCAGCGCCGACACGTGGACCTCCTCGGCGTCTCCGCGGCGGCGCAGAAGCACGTCCTGCGCACGCGGCGCGTCCGACACGGTGTCAAAGTCGAGAGCCTCCTGCGAATGGGAAAGGGGACGTGAGTGGCGCTGGGTTGGGGCTGGAAGTCAGTGGTGGGAGGATAGGGCGAGGGGTACCTGAGAATGGAGGGAAGGGGGGGAGGAGGAGGGGGGCGAGGAGAGCTCGTGGGCGATCTCCGCACGCAGGGCGGCTAGGACGCCGTCGTCCTTGGCGCCGCGGCGGCGCCGGCGGAGGAGGGCGGAGGCGGACGTGCTCAGGCGCCGCAGGAACATCGCACCGGGCTTGAGAGAGATGCGGATCGGTCGCGACTCGAGCCTGGTGCGGTCGTAGCGGTCCGTTCGCAAACCAAATCAACCATGAGCACAGCTCAAAAACAAAAAACAGAAACCTTTTTCTTCATGAATATGTGTCTCATTCGTAAAGATTAATATACAAGGCACATAAAGACCAACATGACAAAACTAAAAAGACAGCAGAACGTCTCAGCGCTTGACACCAACGCCAGTGACCTGTCTCCGGCACCATTGTAGCAGTCATCGAAAGAAAAAAATGACGGATCACCTTCTCACTCGAGCTTGATGTGGCTCCGTCGCTGATATGCAACTTTGCGGACCTTCAAGATGGCTCGCTGTCGGTGTCAAAACCGGTGAATATCGGGTAAGGGGTCCCGAGCTGTGCGTCTAAGGTGGATAGTAACACGAGGCGTGGGACACAATGTTTACCCAGGTTCGGGCCCTCTCGATGGAGGTAATAACCTACTTCCTACTTGATTGCTCGTGATGATATGAGTATTACAAGAATTGATCTACCACGAGATCATAGATGCTAAACCCTAGAAACTAGCCTATGATTATGATTGTTGTTGTCCTACGGACTAAACCCTTCGGTTTATATAGACAACGGATGGGGCTAGGGTTACACAGAGTCGGTTACAAGGGAGGACATCTACATATCCGATTGCCAAGCTTGCCTTCCACGCAAAGGAGAGTCCCACCCGGACACGGGACGAGGTCTTCAATCTTGTATCTTCATAGTCCAACAATCCGGCCAAAGAATATAGTCCGGCTATCCGAGGACCCCTCCAATTTAGGACTCCCTCAGTAGCCCCTAAACCAGGCTTCAATGACGATGAGTCCTGCGCGCAGATTGTTTTCGGCATTGCAAGGCAGGTTCCTTCTTCGAATACTCCATAGAAGATTTCGAATACAAAGATAGTGTCCGGCTCTGCAAAACAAATTCCACATACCACCGTAGAGAGTATAATATTTCCACAAATCTAATCTGCTGACAACTTTTCATAACGTGATATCACGCCATGGCCGGTCATTATTCGAACCGTTTTTCTCAACCAGCTACTGCACATATTGCGAGGCGGTTTTCTTGGCACGTCTTGTCGAAGCAGAGATCGTGTCCCCTTATCACGAGATTCTCATCGATACGGGTGTGGGTAACCCAACCACGCCTGCTGGTATGACTCCTCGATTTTAGGCAAGTTCCAAACGGCCACGCGGAGGACGCTTGATATTCGCCCTCTTTATAAAGGGGCCAAGGCCTGTCCTTTTCTTCTCGCACTCAATCCTCCTCCACCCCGAGTTCCAACAGCCAAGGCCCAGGCTAAGCGCTTCGGTTCTTCAACCATGTCCGGATCCAACCTTCAAGGCCGGTGGATGACTTCCTCTGTCACAGAGGAGGACATCAAGAAGCTAAGGGAAGCCAGGTATCTGACCGCCGAAATCTCGCACAGGCTGCCTGCTCAAGGGCAAGTCATCCCCACTCCCGAACCCAACGAGAGCGTCGTATTTGTTTCCCACTTTCTCCGAGGGCTAGGCTTTAGTCTTGATCCCTTTGTTAGAGGGCTTATGTTCTATTACGGGCTCGATTTCCATGATCTGGCTCCAGATGCCATCCTTCACATCTCGTCGTTTATCATCGTGTGTGAGGCCTTCCTCCGCATCACCCCACACTTCGGATTATGGCTCAAGACCTTCAATGTGAAGCTGAAGATGATCGATGGGCGACACGCAGAATGCAGAGGTGCCATAATAAGCAAAGGCATCGATGCTCCAGGGCCAAAGGGATCCTTCCCGGAGGTGTCCAACTTATGGC